TAGGGATGCTATTGGAAGATGTCCATTTAATCAAATATACGGAAACTATTGGAAGATGTCCATTTAATCAGATATTGGGATGCTTTTGGAAGATGTCATTTTAATCAGATATAGCGATGCTATTGGAAGATATCCATTTCATCAGATATAGGGATGCTGTTGGAAGATGTCCATTTAATCAGATATAGAGATGATATTGGAAGATGTCCATTTATCAGATATAGGGATGCTATTGGAAGATATCCATTTCATCAGATATAGGGATCCTTTTAGAAGATGTCCATTTAATCCGATATAGGGATGCTATTGGAAGATGTCCATTTAATCAGATTATAGGGATGCTATTGGAAGATGTCCATTTAATCAGATATAGGGATGCTATTGGAAGATCTCCATTTATCAGATTATAGGAATGCTATTGGAAGATGTCCATTTCATCAGATATAGGGATGCTGTTGAAAGATGTCCATTTCATCAGATATGGGGATGCTGTTGGAAGATGTCCATTTAATCCAAAATAGGGATGCTATTTGAAGATGTCCATTTAATCAGATTATAGGGATGCTATTGGAAGATGTCCATTTAATCAGATTATAGAGATGCTGTTGGAAGATGTCCATTTAATTAGATATAAGGAAGCTATTGAAAGATGTCCATTTCATCAGATATAGGGATGCTATTGAAAGATGTCCATTTCATCAGATATAGGGATGCTATTGAAAGATGTCCATTTAATCAGATTATAGGGATGCTATTGGAAGATGTCTATTTAATCAAATTTTAGGGAAGTTATTGGAAGATGTCCATTCAATCAGATTATAAGGATGCTATTGAAAGATGTCCATTTAATCAGATATAGGGAAGTTATTGGAAGTTGTCCATTTCATCCGATATAGGGATGCTATTGGCAGATATCCATTTAATCAGATATAGGGATGCTATTGGAAGATGTCCATTTCATCAGATATAGGGATGCTGTTGGAAGATGTCCATTTAATCAGATATAGGGAAGCTATTGGAAGATGTCCATTTAATCAGATATAGGGAAACTATTGGAAGATGTCCATTTAATCAGATATAGGGATGCTTTTGGAAGATGTCCATTTAATCAGATATAGGGATGCTATTGGACGATATCCATTTCATCAGATATAGGGATGCTGTTGGAAGATGTCCATTTAATCAGATATAGGGATGCTATTGGAAGATGTCCATTTATCAGATTATAGGGATGCTGTTGGAAGATGTCCATTTTATTAGATATAGGGATGCTTTTAGAAGATGTCCATTTAATCCGATATAGGGATGCTATTGGAAGATGTCCATTTAATCAGATATAGAGATGCTATTGGAAGATGTCCATTTATCAGATATAGGGATGCTATTGGAAGATATCCATTTCATCAGATATAGGGATCCTTTTAGAAGATGTCCATTTAATCCGATATAGGGATGCTATTGGAAGATGTCCATTTAATCAGATTATAGGGATGCTATTGGAAGATGTCCATTTAATCAGATATAGGGATGCTATTGGAAGATCTCCATTTATCAGATTATAGGAATGCTATTGGAAGATGTCCATTTCATCAGATATAGGGATGCTGTTGAAAGATGTCCATTTCATCAGATATGGGGATGCTGTTGGAAGATGTCCATTTAATCCAAAATAGGGATGCTATTTGAAGATGTCCATTTAATCAGATTATAGGGATGCTATTGGAAGATGTCCATTTAATCAGATTATAGAGATGCTGTTGGAAGATGTCCATTTAATTAGATATAAGGAAGCTATTGAAAGATGTCCATTTCATCAGATATAGGGATGCTATTGAAAGATGTCCATTTCATCAGATATAGGGATGCTATTGAAAGATGTCCATTTAATCAGATTATAGGGATGCTATTGGAAGATGTCTATTTAATCAAATTTTAGGGAAGTTATTGGAAGATGTCCATTCAATCAGATTATAAGGATGCTATTGAAAGATGTCCATTTAATCAGATATAGGGAAGTTATTGGAAGTTGTCCATTTAATCCGATATAGGGATGCTATTGGCAGATATCCATTTAATCAGATATAGGGATGCTATTGGAAGATGTCCATTTCATCAGATATAGGGATGCTGTTGGAAGATGTCCATTTAATCAGATATAGGGAAGCTATTGGAAGATGTCCATTTAATCAGATATAGGGAAACTATTGGAAGATGTCCATTTAATCAGATATAGGGATGCTTTTGGAAGATGTTCATTTAATCAGATATAGGGATGCTATTGGACGATATCCATTTCATCAGATATAGGGATGCTGTTGGAAGATGTCCATTTAATCAGATATAGGGATGCTATTGGAAGATGTCCATTTATCAGATTATAGGGATGCTGTTGGAAGATGTCCATTTCATTAGATATAGGGATGCTTTTAGAAGATGTCCATTTAATCCGATATAGGGATGCTATTGGAAGATGTCCATTTAATCAGATTATAGGGATGCTGTTGGAAGATGTCCATTTAATCAGATATAGGGATGCTATTGGAAGATCTCCATTTATCAGATTATAGGAATGCTATTGGAAGATGTCCATTTCTTCAGCTATAGGGATGCTGTTGAAAGATGTCCATTTCATCAGATATGGGGATGCTGTTGGAAGATGTCCATTTAATCCAAAATAGGGATGCTATTGGAAGATGTCCATTTAATCAGATTATAGGGATGCTATTGGAAGATGTCCATTTAATCAGATTTTAGAGATGCTATTGGAAGATGTCCATTTAATTAGATATAGGAAAGCTATTGAAAGATGTCCATTTCATCAGATATAGGGATGCTATTGAAAGATGTCCATTTCATCAGATATAGGGATGCTATTGGAAGATGTCCATTTCATCAGATATAGGGATGCTATTGAAAGATGTCCATTTCATCAGATATAGGGATGCTGTTGGAAGATGTCCATTTAATCAGATATAGGGATGCTATTGGAAGATGTCCATTTAATCAGATTATGGGTTGGCTATTGGAAGATGTCCATTTAATCAGATATAGGGAAGCTATTGGAAGATGTCCATTTAATCACATAAAGGGATACTATTGGAAGAAGTCCATTTCATCAGATATAGGGATGCTGTTGAAGATGTTCGCTTCAGAATAGACACATATAACTGCTACAAATGGTCAGTTCGGTTTTAAAAACCCAGATGTACAGCCTATTATTAATGTTAGAGATGCCTTTGGTCGCCAAGTATGAACGTGCCTCGCTGTGGGATAATGATCGGTTTAATTCAGATGTCAGTTATTCATGTAGTCATGGCCCTGAAACAATTATAACAGTGTAGTAACAGCCATAAATCATATGTATCAATATCACAAGTAGTTATCGCATCACAAAAAATGTATGGGATTTATGGCATCGTAAAATAACTATACATAACAATTGTCCGACAAATATCTAAATTTGTCACATCAAGGGAGGTAATAAACACTCATGACAATGGCTGTGAGATAATATCACGTCAAGGGAGTTAATTCACCACCAAATACCATGTTTTGCCCACATAATCACAATGAAAACAGTATTTACACATAAACTTAACACCGGCATCACCCAACAAGTAACGTAACATACATGTTGTAACATAAAGATCAAATATATTTATCCATGATAATAAACCTTACGTATTTGTGGAATTGAGCCATATGAAAACACATGATGACTTACAATAAAGGCAGACCATGGATTGCCTGCAATTCACAAACACCATCATAGAACATTGTGACAGTGCACTCATCATGACGTAGGATATTCACTCACACAATTCAAAGAAAACCTATATATATATATGCACATAGCCAACTAACAAAAGCTTACGTTAATAATTATTTAACTCTGACTTTAATCAGAACTTTTATTGCAATTGCCTACATTACCAAATGAACTTTAGCTTTAACGTAATCGATCAACATTAATTTAGATACTTTTTCAACATTACCATATGTAACAAGTTACCGAAGAACATTATTGTTTAAGAAACAACCGATTTTGTGATCATACAAAAGAACTAAAAAATATGAACATAATTTAGTGTTGAAGTATTTTACTGACCTGTTTTATCGTGCTGTCACATAACGTGTTGTTGCCTGCTGTGCGGTGCTGTGCTGTGACTTAGGTGGTTAGATTTGATGCAGGGGGACTATCTTAGTTTTGAAACTAGCCATGAGTAGATAGTAAATATGGTCAGGTGATAAACAAGTTTTATCCTAGTTTCAGAATGAGACAATACTCTTGATCAAGCATCACACTTTACGACGGCATCCCCTTTCAGATAAATGCAATTCATATGAAATAATAGACAAATATAACCAACTACCAATATAATTCATTTTGACATGTGCTAAATACCACAAACCTTAGAATACTGCCACCGACCTTCAATATTTAAGGAGCCTTTTTATGACCTATATTTACAATAAATGTAAAGTAGATATAAACAAACAAACCAAACTAAGATATAAAAATGCCATGAAGAAGTCGCTGCTACTCTGAAAGAACTCAACTTCTAAAGCTATGGAGTTTAATGTTTGGGTCTCTGCCGTTAGTTGCTGTGAAACAAAAGCATTAATTGTTATGTTATGTTTTGGTTAATTGTTCATGTATCTGTTTGTAGACATAAACGACTGTGAAACAAACCCATGTCTGAACGGTACATGTGTCGACCACGTCAACAACTACACCTGTGACTGTGAACCTGGGTATACAGACAGGAACTGCAACACAGGTGAGAAGGCCTTCCCTATCTTACACAGGTTTAATTTATTTCCGTATTATAACCTCATTAGCCCGAACCCCATTAGGTTGGACACCATGCTTTTCAGGCGATTACGACTTTTTGCGACTGAAGATCCACAAGGAAAAATACTTAGTAACGATAATTCGTTTGTTCGGATAATTATGTATTTGGACAGTTTTGGTTAATTCTTTATGTAACTGTTTGTAGATATTGACGAGTGTGCAACAAACCCATGTGCGAACGGTACATGTGTCGACCACGTCAACAACTACACCTGTGACTGTGAACCTGGGTATACAGACAGGAACTGGAGCACAGGTGAGAAGGCCTTCCCTATCTCACACAGGTTTAATTTATTTCAGTATTATAACCTCATTAGCCGGAACCCCATTAGGTTGGACACCATGCTTTTCAGGCGATTACCATTATAGGGATGCTATTGGAAGATGTCCATTTAATCAGATATAGGGATGCTATTGGAAGATGTCCATTTCATCAGATATAGGGATGCTGTTGGAAGATGTCCATTTAATCAGATATAGGGATGCTTTTGGAAGATGTCCATTTATCAGATTATAGGGATGCTATTGGAAGATGTCCATTTAATCAGATATAGGGATGCTATTGGAAGATGTCCATGTAATCAGATTATAGGGATCCTATTGGAAGATGTCCATTTAATCAGATTATAGGGATGCTATTGGAAGATGTCCATTTAATAAGATTTTAGGGAAGGTATTGGAAGATGTCCATTCAATCATATTATAAGGACGCTATTCAAAGATTTTCATTTAATCAGATATAGGGAAGCTATTGGAAGATGTCCATTTAATTAGATTATAGGGATGCTATTGGAAGATGTCCATTTAATCAGATATAGGGATGCTATTGGAAGATGTCCATTTCATCAGATATAGGGATGCTGTTGGAAGATGTCCATTTAATCAGATATAGGGATGCTATTGGAAGATGTCCATTTAATCAGGTATAGGGAAACTTTTGAAAGATGTCCATTTAATCAGATATAGGGATGCTATTGGAAGATGTCCATTTAATCAGATATAGGGATGCTATTGGAAGATATCCATTTCATCAGCTATAGGGATGCTGTTGGAAGATGTCCATTTATCAGATTATAGGGATGCTATTGGAAGATGTCCATTTCATCAGTTATGGGGATGCTGTTGGAAGATGTCCATTTAATCAGATATAGGGATGCTATTGGAAGATGTCCATTTAATCAGATATAGGGATGCTATTGGAAGATATCCATTTCATCAGATATAGGGATGCTGTTGGAAGATGTCCATTTAATCAGATATAGGGATGCTATTGGAAGATGTCCATTTATCAGATTATAGGGATGCTATTGGCAGATGTCCATTTCATCAGTTATGGGGATGCTGTTGGAAGATGTCCATTTAATCAGATATAGGGATGCTATTGGAAGATATCCATTTACCAGATTATAGGAATGCTATTGGCAGATGTCCATTTCATCAGATATAGGGATGCTGTTGAAAGATGTCCATTTCATCAGATATGAGGATGCTGTTGGAAGATGTCCACTTAATCACATATAGGGATGCTATTGGAAGATGTCCATTTAATCAGATTATAGGGATGCTATTGGAAGATGTCCATTTAATCAGATATAAGGAAACTATTGGAAGATGTCCATTTAATCAGATATAGGGATGCTATTGGAAGATGTCCATTTAATCAGATATAGGGATGCTATTGGAAGATATCCATTTCATCAGAGATAGGGATGCTGTTGGAAGATGTCCATTTAATCAGATATAGGGATGCTATTGGAAGATGTCCATTTATCAGATTATAGGGATGCTATTGGAAGATGTCCATTTCATCAGATATGGGGATGCTGTTGGAAGATGTCCATTTAATCCGATATAGGGATGCTATTGGAAGAAGTCCATTTCATCAGATATAGGGATGCTATTGGAAGATGTTCGTTTCAGAATAGACACATATTACTGCTACAAATGTTCAGTTCGGTTTTAAAAAGCCCAGATGTACAGCCTATTATTAATGTTAGAGATGCCTTTGGTCGCCAAGTATGACCGTGCCTCGCTGTTGGATAATGATCGGTTTAATTCAGATGTCAGTTATTCATGTAGTCATGGCCCTGAAACAATCATAACAGTGTAGTAACAGCCATAAATCATATGTATCAATATCACAAGTAGTTATCACATCACAAAAAATGTATGGGATTTATGGCATCGTAAAATAACTATACATAACAATTGTCCGACAAATATCTAAATTTGTCACATCAAGGGAGGTAATTCACCACCAAATACCATGTTTTGCCCACATAATCACAATGAAAACAGTATTTACACATAAACTTAACACCGGCATCACCCAACAAGTAACGTAACATACATGTTGTAACATAAAGATCAAATATATTTATCCATGATAATAAACCTTACGTATTTGTGGAATTGAGCCATATGAAAACACATGATGACTTACAATAAAGGCAGACCATGGATTGCCTGCAATTCACAAACACCATCATAGAACATTGTGACAGTGCACTCATCATGACGTAGGATATTCACTCACACAATTCAAAGAAAACCTATATATATATATGCACATAGCCAACTAACAAAAGCTTACGTTAATAATTATTTAACTCTGACTTTAATCAGAACTTTTATTGCAATTGCCTACATTACCAAATGAACTTTAGCTTTAACGTAATCGATCAACATTAATTTAGATACTTTTTCAACATTACCATATGTAACAAGTTACCGAAGAACATTATTGTTTAAGAAACAACCGATTTTGTGATCATACAAAAGAACTAAAAAATATGAACATAATTTAGTGTTGAAGTATTTTACTGACCTGTTTTATCGTGCTGTCACATAACGTGTTGTTGCCTGCTGTGCGGTGCTGTGCTGTGACTTAGGTGGTTAGATTTGATGCAGGGGGACTATCTTAGTTTTGAAACTAGCCATGAGTAGATAGTAAATATGGTCAGGTGATAAACAAGTTTTATCCTAGTTTCAGAATGAGACAATACTCTTGATCAAGCATCACACTTTACGACGGCATCCCCTTTCAGATAAATGCAATTCATATGAAATAATAGACAAATATAACCAACTACCAATATAATTCATTTTGACATGTGATAAATACCACAAACCTTAGAATACTGCCACCGACTTTCAATATTTAAGGAGCCTTTTTATGACCTATATTTACAATAAATGTAAAGTAGATATAAACAAACAAACCAAACTAAGATATAAAAATGCCATGAAGAAGTCGCTGCTACTCTGAAAGAACTCAACTTCTAAAGCTATGGAGTTTAATGTTTGGGTCTCTGCCGCCAGTTGCTGTGAAACAAAAGCATTAATTGTTATGTTATGTTTTGGTTAATTGTTCATGTATCTGTTTGTAGACATAAACGACTGTGCAACAAACCCATGTCTGAACGGTACATGTGTCGACCACGTCAACAACTACACCTGTGACTGTGAACCTGGGTATACAGACAGGAACTGCAACACAGGTGAGAAGGCCTTCCCTATCTTACACAGGTTTAATTTATTTCCGTATTATAACCTCATTAGCCCGAACCCCATTAGGTTGGACACCATGCTTTTCAGGCGATTACGACTTTTTGCGACTGAAGATCCACAAGGAAAAATACTTAGTAACGATAATTCGTTTGTTCGGATAATTATGTATTTGGACAGTTTTGGTTAATTCTTTATGTAACTGTTTGTAGATATTGACGAGTGTGCAACAAACCCATGTGCGAACGGTACATGTGTCGACCACGTCAACAACTACACCTGTGACTGTGAACCTGGGTATACAGACAGGAACTGCAGCACAGGTGAGAAGGCCTTCCCTATCTCACACAGGTTTAATTTATTTCAGTATTATAACCTCATTAGCCCGAACCCCATTAGGTTGGACACCATGCTTTTCAGGCGATTACGATTATAGGGATGCTATTGGAAGATGTCCATTTAATCAGATATAGGGATGCAATTGGAAGATGTCCATTTCATCAGATATAGGGATGCTGTTGGAAGATGTCCATTTAATCAGATATAGGGATGCTTTTGGAAGACGTCCATTTATCAGATTATAGGGATGCTATTGGAAGATGTCCATTTAATCAGATATAGGGATGCTATTGGAAGATGTCCATGTAATCAGATTATAGGGATGCTATTGGAAGATGTCCATTTAATCAGATTATAGGGATGCTACTGGAAGATGTCCATTTAATAAGATTTTAGGGAAGCTATTGGAAGATGTCCATTCAATCATATTATAAGGACGCTATTGAAAGATTTTCATTTAATCAGATATAGGGAAGCTATTGGAAGATGTCCATTTAATTAGATTATAGGGATGCTATTGCAAGATGTCCATTTAATCAGATATAGGGATGCTATTGGAAGATGTCCATTTCATCAGATAAGGGAATGCTGTTGGAAGATGTCCATTTAATCAGATATAGGGATGCTGTTGGAAGATGTCCATTTAATCAGATATAGGGATGCTATTGGAAGATGTCCATTTATCAGATTATAGGGATGCTATTGGAAGATGTCCATTTCATCAGATATGGGGATGCTGTTGGAAGATGTCCATTTAATCCTATATAGGGATGTTATTGGAAGATGTCCATTTAATCAGATTATAGGGATGCTGTTTGAAGATGTCCATTTAATCAGATATAGGGATGCTATTGGAAGATGTCCATTTAATCAGGTATAGGGAAACTATTGGAAGATATCCATTTAATCAGATATAGGGATGCTATTGGAAGATGTCCATTTAATCCGATATAGGGATGCTATTGGAAGATATCCATTTAATCAGATATGAGGATGCTGTTGGAAGATGTCCATTTAATCAGATATAGGGATGCTATTGGAAGATGTCCATTTATCAGATTATAGGGATGCTATTGGAAGATGTCCATTTCATCAGTTATGGGGATGCTGTTGGAAGATGTCCATTTAATCAGATATAGGGATGCTATTGGAAGATGTCCATTTACCAGATTATAGGAATGCTATTGGAAGATGTCCATTTCATCAGATATAGGGATGCTGTTGAAAGATGTCCATTTAATCAGATATGAGGATGCTGTTGGAAGATGTCCATTTAATCACATATAGGGATGCTATTGGAAGATGTCCATTTAATCAGATTATAGGGATGCTATTGGAAGATGTCCATTTAATCAGATATAAGGAAACTATTGGAAGATGTCCATTTAATCAGATATAGGGATGCTATTGGAAGATGTCCATTTAATCAGATATAGGGATGCTATTGGAAGATATCCATTTCATCAGATATAGGGATGCTATTGGAAGATGTCCATTTCATCAGATATGGGGATGCTGTTGGAAGATGTCCATTTAATCCGATATAGGGATGCTATTGGAAGATGTCCATTTAATCAGATTATAGGGATGCTGTTGGAAGATGTCCATTTAATTCGATATAGGGATGCTATTGGAAGATGTCCATTTAATCAGATTATAGGGATGCTATTGGAAGATGTCCATTTAATCACATATAGGGATGCTACTGGAAGAAATCCATTTCATCAGATATAGGGATGCTATTGGAAGATGTTCGTTTCAGAATAGACACATATAACTGCTACAAATGTTCAGTTCGGTTTTAAAAACCCAGATGTACAGCCTATTATTAATGTTAGAGATGCCTTTGGTCGCCAAGTATGACCGTGCCTCGCTGTGGGATAATGATCGGTTTAATTCAGATGTCAGTTATTCATGTAGTCATGGCCCTGAAACAATCATAACAGTGTAGTAACAGCCATAAATCATATGTATCAATATCACAAGTAGTTATCACATCACAAAAAATGTATGGGATTTATGGCATCGTAAAATAACTATACATAACAATTGTCCGACAAATATCTAAATTTGTCACATCAAGGGAGGTAATTCACCACCAAATACCATGTTTTGCCCACATAATCACAATGAAAACAGTATTTACACATAAACTTAACACCGGCATCACCCAACAAGTAACGTAACATACATGTTGTAACATAAAGATCAAATATATTTATCCATGATAATAAACCTTACGTATTTGTGGAATTGAGCCATATGAAAACACATGATGACTTACAATAAAGGCAGACCATGGATTGCCTGCAATTCACAAACACCATCATAGAACATTGTGACAGTGCACTCATCATGACGTAGGATATTCACTCACACAATTCAAAGAAAACCTATATATATATATGCACATAGCCAACTAACAAAAGCTTACGTTAATAATTATTTAACTCTGACTTTAATCAGAACTTTTATTGCAATTGCCTACATTACCAAATGAACTTTAGCTTTAACGTAATCGATCAACATTAATTTAGATACTTTTTCAACATTACCATATGTAACAAGTTACCGAAGAACATTATTGTTTAAGAAACAACCGATTTTGTGATCATACAAAAGAACTAAAAAACATGAACATAATTTAGTGTTGAAGTATTTTACTGACCTGTTTTATCGTGCTGTCACATAACGTGTTGTTGCCTGCTGTGCGGTGCTGTGCTGTGACTTAGGTGGTGAGATTTGATGCAGGGGGACTATCTTAGTTTTGAAACTAGCCATGAGTAGATAGTAAATATGGTCAGGTGATAAACAAGTTTTATCCTAGTTTCAGAATGAGACAATACTCTTGATCAAGCATCACACTTTACGACGGCATCCCCTTTCAGATAAATGCAATTCATATGAAATAATAGACAAATATAACCAACTACCAATATAATTCATTTTGACATGTGATAAATACCACAAACCTTAGAATACTGCCACCGACTTTCAATATTTAAGGAGCCTTTTTATGACCTATATTTACAATAAATGTAAAGTAGATATAAACAAACAAACCAAACTAAGATATAAAAATGCCATGAAGAAGTCGCTGCTACTCTGAAAGAACTCAACTTCTAAAGCTATGGAGTTTAATGTTTGGGTCTCTGCCGCTAGTTGCTGTGAAACAAAAGCATTAATTGTTATGTTATGTTTTGGTTAATTGTTCATGTATCTGTTTGTAGACATAAACGACTGTGAAACAAACCCATGTCTGAACGGTACATGTGTCGACCACGTCAACAACTACACCTGTGACTGTGAACCTGGGTATACAGACAGGAACTGCAACACAGGTGAGAAGGCCTTCCCTATCTTACACAGGTTTAATTTATTTCCGTATTATAACCTCATTAGCCCGAACCCCATTAGGTTGGACACCATGCTTTTCAGGCGATTACGACTTTTTGCGACTGAAGATCCACAAGGAAAAATACTTAGTAACGATAATTCGTTTGTTCGGATAATTATGTATTTGGACAGTTTTGGTTAATTCTTTATGTAACTGTTTGTAGATATTGACGAGTGTGCAACAAACCCATGTGCGAACGGTACATGTGTCGACCACGTCAACAACTACACCTGTGACTGTGAACCTGGGTATACAGACAGGAACTGCAGCACAGGTGAGAAGGCCTTCCCTATCTCACACAGGTTTAATTTATTTCAGTATTATAACCTCATTAGCCCGAGCCCCATTAGGTCGGAACTGCAACACAGGTGAGACATCTGTCCCTATATCTCACACATGTTTTGTATTCATAATCAGTGTAACGCCGATATGTAGTATCAAGTTTGGAAACCAGGAAAGTACATGTACATATCATTGTGCTCATTATGATAGTATATCATTGTTTAATATTCCTGAAGCTTACTTCTTCATATCTGTTCAGATGAGACAAACCCTGCAATAAGTTCAGTGTTAATATAACGTCAGTTCATATAAACGCCGCAGAGTAACCGATTATCCGCCGGAACAGATTCCATTTGGCGTTAATTTCAATATATAGCTGTGAAAATTATATGAATGGATCGCTGGAAATCAGTGCTGACACCAGGTGATCGCGAAAAGGATGAGCATACCCTGCCCTACCCACTCACACAATTTCCATAAAAAGTACGCGTTTCTTGCCTGAAGCCACACCCATTGCAGTGCGACGGCGGTCTGTAAACAACCCAAAACATTAATTGATGGACCAGAACATCCAGTGAAACGTTAGCGCATTTACTTAAACCTCCATAATATGTACTTGACCTATGTCAGTATATATAACCATCACTAAGTGTCACATGTCTTAATTAATAATTAAAAAAATTATTTATAACTCACTTGTAAATATTTCTATGCTTTAATAGTAGGTCAGCGACATTTAAGACCTGTGTCTTGTGTTGCTCATAATAGCTGCTTAATGTGCTAACCATCAATATTTAAATTGTAAGAATTTTTAGACCTTGTGGATTAAATTAGACAAGGTGACCAAGAGGAAATTGAAAGTCGTCCCGAGTTCTGGCTCTTTTTCTGCTGCAGTGCAAAGGTCGAACATCTACGACTATGTATATTGAACACCATACTTATACTTGAACACATATAAAATCTCTATCTGAACGTCCTCTCTTTATCATTATTTTCATTTTCATTGATGTCAACAACTCAACTTTCATCTCAAGTCGACCATGAAACTTCTTTGACATAGGCATACATTAGCACATTCACGTCACTTGATTGTGGGTTCGAATCCCGGTTCTTCCCGATTATGTTTCTAGATTTGCCAGCACAAGACAATTGGCTTTCACCAAAGTTGTGAACGTCTAAGACCTATATCACTGACACGCTGTGATATAACCCCCCGTAACCTCTCTGTTATCCAGTTCTTGACCCCTGCGCGACTAATCCCTGTCAGAACAACGGGACCTGTACTCAGACACAAACTGCTTTTACCTGCTCTTGTCCGGCTGGTATTAAAGGGGACACCTGTGAGATAGGTAAGTGACGTTAAGGTGTACAGGTGCCGAAAAAAAAAAAACGATGGCGATTCAGAGGAACTGAAAGTCAGGCCGTTTTGGTGACATCTGGAAGCATGTTTTGGGTATTAGAATTGTAACAATAATCGTTCCTCATTTTTCTATTTCAGACATCGACGACTGTGCCTCCAGTCCATGTAAAAACAACGGGACTTGCGCTGATCGTGTCAACGCCTTTGAATGCCTCTGTCCGGCCAGCTACAGTGGCTTGCTTTGTCAGTTTGTACTTGCTTGTGGGTGCCCTTGCCTTTTCAAGGGTAACATGACAGATGAAGAACTGGCAGCAAAAGTTGCATGGCTGCGGTCGAGTTTACTCCTCGACAAGTCGATTCTGACCAGCACAATACGAAAAAAGACAAGTGCACCGGATACACGCAAATCTTCAACAGGGATTGGATTAATCGGCATAGTTTGCACTGGTGCAGCATTTGGGTTTTTCCTATTCGTTGATTGTTTTAACTTTGTTAAGTATATTTCAACAAAAAAGGACCCGAAACGCAAAATAATACAGATGACGGAAATAATCAGGAAGAAAGATTGGTAACACCATGGTAATTTAAGTTCTCAAACCAGGGCATCTGTATATTACCACCTACTTCACTACCTATTCTCTTCCATGCCCCTTCCCTCGCCAATTTTGCTTTGTATATTTGCTACTTCTCCTCCTCAACACTTTATCCACTGGCCGTGGCTTTACTTTATATAACACAGTCGGAAACCAAACATGGACTCTGCTTATGGACTCTAAGATTATGAAATGGCTTTGTCGCTTTTCTAGAGACTAGTAGTCCCAATGATTACTTTTATGTAAACTGTAGCTTCCTCTCACCATTTAGAATTGGCTTGGAATGAACATTGAAATTACCTGCCTCAGATAACAAATAATTATGCTGTGGTGATAGGAAAAAAAGGTGAGACACAGAGGTGACTAATGCATATATATCACATCAAGTCTTAGTGTTATATATGGGACTTTCTTTTTCCGTTTCCCCGAACCGGTAGTCAGTAATGTTAATTAAAAGGGAGGGGTTATTAAGGAAGCTATAGGCCTGGAACTTTCTGTTTTAAAGTTGTAATACTTAGGGCATATGTTTTTCCAAACTGGAAGTATGTTTAAATTTGTTCTTAAGATAGTTAAAGGGATATGAATATCTCTAATAATTTCAAAGTTATACTGCATTGGGCATGCTTTCTAAAACCAATGGATGCAACTTTGATATTAAGGTAGGCGAGATGAACTTTCCCTGCAAAGAAGTGCTGCATTAGGCATGCTTTCTAAAACCAATGGATGCAACTTTGATATTAAGGTAGGCGAGATGAACTTTCCCTGCAAAGAAGTGCTGCAATGGACCTGTGTGTTCTCATACCGAAAGAGGTGTCATTAAATCTTTCACTCAGGGTAGCTAGAGGCATAGGCTTTATATTAGTCTTCAGCATCCAAAGCTTGTCCTAAGAGGCGACTAACGAGATCGGGTAGTCAGGCTCGCTAGCTTGGTTGATACATGTCATTGTATGCTGTAGATCGATGCTCATGATGTCAATCACTCGATGGTCTGGAGCAGTCTCGATTATTTACAGACCACCGACATATATCTGGAATATTGCTGAGTGTGGCGTTAAACAATAAACAAACAACAAACAGCATAAAAATGAGTTTTACTGACTGATACATATGGGATGAACAATTAATATATTTGATATACATGTAGATAGTATCGGAGAGGTCTGTTAGAATCTGATATAGTTGGACAAGTATGGTTAGTCGTGCATGTTTCTAGGGGAAACAGCTAGTTTATCAGGTGTTGACCATTAACGTTTTCAGTGTATGCAGAAATAGAGAGAAAATGGTATGAATCGTGTAGGCATGTCCGACAGTAACTGGGCAACAGAGGGATTCAGAAGTTGGATTTGTGAACAAACTTGTTTGCCATCACTTTTGATCATGGACGAATGAGTACTGTTTATCATGCTTCATTATGTAATTTGTCACTTTAAGATTTGCTCATTTGAAATGATAGTGAACTGATATACATCAGAATAACAACATGTGATTACACGTGAAGCTGCTGATGTTGCTGACACTGAAAGCCGATGACGTAATTGAACTATTCTATAACATGGGGGGCGGTCGGGTAGCCCAGTGGTTAAAGCGTTCGCTCGTCACGCCGAAGACCCAGGTTCGATTCCCGACATGGGTACAATGTGTGAAGCCCGTTTCTGGTGTCCCCCGCCGTGATATTGCTGGAATATTGCTAAAAGCGGCGTTAAACTATACTCACTCACTCACTATAACATGGAATACTACGTTGGGACAGAATTATGTTTTATATTCATGTTGTGCATTATGTATTACTGATGAGAGATTTATTGTTTTATTTTTTTCATTATATTATATATGTTTATATAAGTATAAACAAGAAAGGAGCAAGTTATTGACCTCGTACTTTTCATATCAATTTTATATGTGCACCTAGCTTATGACATGAAATGCACGTTGGTTAAAAGCGATCCTACAAATATGTGTTTAATTAGTGTTTACATACTCAAAATTGAAGATTGTTATATATTCAGAAATGTTGTCCTTCATTGACTCTTACCATGTTGTGTGAAATATATCTACCTTGAATTATTTATGTGCAATAATTATTGATTTGATCTAACGTTTAAACCACAATGACATATGAAAAGAAAAACTCTTTCTAGTTATTTGACGTGGGGCATAACTGTTTTGCTCTGATAATTTTGTTTCCCTTTTCCCCTTTTTGTAAATCAAAAGAATGGAGAAATGGGTTGAAATTATTCGTCAGTATAATTTACGAGTTAATTAACTTATTATATTAATCAAAATGGAACAAAATGGCTGGTGTGCAGGTAAAAACAAAAAAACAATACTTAATTGTATTATATAATTATATATACTTCAGATGTCAGATAATTCAATCCGTTTCACTTTTCATTTTATAAAGTCATGTCACCGACCATTACCATAGAGATCGCTATGTTGTGATACCCGATGATGGCAAGTATCTCTTAATTATTCGTCTCTCTTTAACATGCATTTATCAAAGTATTTTCAAATGATGTGTATTGTATTGTGTGTCATGTTTTTATATGTTTTCATCATAAATATGAACCAAACATTTCTTTCTAAGCTTAATTCAATGTAAAAAATAATTAACCTACAAACTCGACATGTGGCCTTTAATATAATATGTTGTTTTTTTTAAATTACTCAGTGGCTTTGCTCACGTTATTTATATACAGGACATATGTCAATTAAAGTTGTGCTTCAAAGGATTGTTTGTTTGTTTGTTGTTAAACGCCGCACTCAGCAATAGTCCAGCTATATGACGGCGGTCTGTATATAATCGAGTATGAACCAGACAATCCAGTGACTGACATCATGAGCATCGATCCACACAACTGGGATCAGTGACATGCATCAACCAAGTCAGCGAGTCTGACCACCCGTTTCCGTTAGTCGCCTCTTATGACAAGCATAGTCGCCTTTTACGGCAAGCATGGGTTGCTGAAGACCTATTCTACCCGGGAGGACCTTTTTGCTTTTCGTTGACGTCTGTACATGTTCGGCATTAACACGGTG